AGCTCCGCGGGCCCAGGGAGCGGGGCCCCGGCGGGGGCCGAGGCGGGAGCCGTGCTGCCGGGCTCCCGGGCTCCGACTCCTCCTCCCCCGGCGCCACCGCCGCCGCCGCCGCCCGCCGCGCCGGGTCCTAAAGCCGCGCGCCTCAAAAGGATGGTGCGCCTGGCGGCTGAGCTGCTGCTGCTGCTGGGGCTACTGCTGCTCACGCTGCACATCACCGTGCTGCGGGGTTCGGGGACCGCAGACGGGCCGGACGCCGCCGCGGGCAACGCCAGCCGGACCCAGCTGCAGGTGAGTACATCGCTGGAGAGGGGCGCGCATGGCAGCGGGCCCCGGGGGACGGGGTGCTGCGCTCTCCCGCCTGATGGATGCGAGGAGGCTGGTCCCCCACCCCACCGAAGAGCAACTGTTTCGGCAGGAGTTTCGCCCGGGCAACCCGTCCTAGGCAGAGGCGGAGCGGGGGTGTGTGCCCGGAGGCTGGGCCTGGCTTGGCGGTCTGGCGGACGCGCTCCTCCAGGTCTATCACAAGTCAGGTACTTGGGGGTGCGAGGCGTGGGATGGGCGGAGGATGTGTGGAGCATGTATGTGTTTGCTTTGGGATTCTGCCAGGATTTGGTTGCCCTTTAGAGGCCAAGTAACGTTACCGGGGGTGGGGGCTGCGGGGACGGAAGTGGTCTTTAACTATAGGATAACATCCCCAAACTAGGTTTGGGAGAAAGAGCCCCGGTGAGCCTGCCCCTTCAGAAATGCAAAGGTCAGGAAATAATTTCCCGAGGAGAGTCGCCGAACACTCTCTTCTCCCACGCGGTCCCCGTGCCTTCGGTGTCTCTCCTGAGCCTCACCGGAGGCTCCCGAGTGTGGTATTGGCCAAGGGGAGGGCGTGGAGTCAAGGCACCTGCCGTGCTTTGGGCCATGGTTATCTGGGGCTTTTAAACTTCGAGCAAAGGATTCTTCCCAGTGCTCTGCCCGAGTTGAAGGTCGCCTTGGGAATGTGGTTCTAATGATCGATTTCAGCTCCAAGCCCGGGAGGAGGGGTGGTCGCGACTGGGGAGGTGTAGTGGGCGTCATAGAAAAGGTGTGTTCCCCTTTCCTAATAAAGGGTTGCTCAGGTAGGGATTTCCCGCCGCTACCTTGGAAAGCTCTTTTCCTTGGGTCTAGTGGTGTGACAACTGTCAATTTGGGGCATGGGTAAAAATCCGCCGTGATTTTCTCAGAAAGCAGCGGGAATTCTCTGGCTCCCAAAATCTCCTCAAACCGTCCCTCTAAAACTCTTTGCTCTGCAATATCGACATAAGTATTACTTATTGCTCCAAAGAGCTTTACAATCATTGTCTCTGCGAATTCATTTTTACTTCTTTATGTAACTTGTTGCGCAAAACCTTTACTGTTAAAGACAGAATTCACTTCAACACTTCCAAGCAGTGCTTACTATGTGCTACTGTTTTAAGTGCTTTAACTGATTTAATGAGGTTCTATATTATTAATATCTCCCCTTTACAGATGCAAAAAATAAATGAGGTACAGAGAGGTTAAGCAATTTGCCAAAGTTCACACATTCCAAACTCTTGATTAATTACACCACATTTTCTCTCTGCCAGGGTGTTACAGACTAAAGCAAGGTGACCCTTGGCACAAAAATGCAAAACCAGGAATGGAAAAGTATACACTCCCGAGCCTAAAGTTCTTTCAAATTTGGGACATTTGTGAAAATGTCCTGACTTTGTGGGGTCCTCTAGTCTTCTGTAGGCAAACAGGCACAGTGACAGATTGATGGGATTCCTTTGGGGAAAGTGAAGATACCACCATTCTATAGATTGTGTTACACGCACTAGTCTAACATGTAGGAATAATTCTTAATATCTTCAAGATTTCTGGAAGTCATATTTTATACATGATGCTTTCTTTCCTCATGGACTCATGAAAAGCTGTAAAAATGATGTTCTATGGAAAAGTAAATTTGGCAGATTTCTTTATGAGGTGTTTGCTATCATTAGAATAACCTGGGGCTGGCCTTTTCTGCCTGAACAGTAAGGTAATGAGAGAAGCAGCTGGTGGAAGTGGCAACTGCAAAGGGGAAGTGGATTAAATTCTCAAAAGGGCCTTTGGCTGAAGAATTGCCCCAAGAGAGCAAAAGAAATGGAGGATTTAGAAAGAGTAATGCTCCGAGGAATAACTTGGGTCCCAAGGAGCTGCTGATCCACCAGCTTCAGTTTATCTTACAATAGCATTCAGTTATTCTGTCCACTCAATGCACTTATCCAGGCAAAATGATGAGTTTAACAGTTTAGTTCATAATTTTACTCTCTTTTGTAATTTGTTATTATAAAAGTTTTATATTCTTCCTGACTAAAGTTATTTCATTGGCCCTCTCACTCCCCAAAGGTATTATGATTCAAGTGGAGAGTGTATGTTCCACCAAGTGAGGAGATCTGCAAAAGACATTTATTAGCGTGTTGTTTTCAGGCCCCAGCAAGTGAATTTGCTAGTAGCAGGTGTATTTGAAAACAGAACTGTGGATGCTATATTGTTTCTTGACATAAGCTAGATAGTCCAATATGACCTTATTCTTACATCTGATGGTTGATGCTGGCTGTCACTTTGGCTGTCTCTCTCTATAGTCTTTCATCTTCAAGGAGGGTTTAGCCTGCATGTCTTTACAGGGTGGACTCAGAGTAGCAAGAGTAAAAGCAGAAGTTGCAAGGCCTCTTGATGAACTTGTACAATGTCACTTCAGCCACATTCTAGTGGCTAAACAAATCACTGGGTCAGCTCAGATTCTAGGGGACAGGAAATAGACTGCTCTTGATGGGAGGACCAGCAAAGTAGCATTGCAAAGAATGTGGAAAGGGGTAGGAGGAATTATTGTTGCCATCTTTGCAAAATGTCTATCATATTGACCTCTTGTCTCACATACTTTGTAAATGTTTGTACCAGTCTTGCACTCATCTTTTAACATTGTTTATGCTGCCTTTGGCCATGCAGAAACTTTTTGTTTTAAATGTAATCAATGCTGAATCATTTCCCTTATGACTTTTGGTTTTCTTACCTTATTTAAGAAAGTTTTCCTTAAATAAAGGTTGTCAAAATCTTTAAATGTATTTTGTTCTAACAGTTTTAGTTTTATTTATTTATTTTGTTTGTTTAAGATTACAATCTAGTTTGAAGTTATTTGTAGGTTTAAGGGCTAAGATAAAAATACATCTTTGGTCTTTATCCAGGTGAATAGTCACTTGTCCTATCATATTTCTTAAATACTCCATTCTACATTCATTCATACAAAATAAAATTTTTATCACATACTAAAATGTTTAGATATACATAACTCTGTTTCTTGATTTTCATTTGTCTATTCGTGTACCAGTACCACACTAGCTTCATTTAATGTAGCTTCATATTATGCTTTAATAGGGCAAATTTGCTTTCATTTTTAAAATATCTTTCTTAGAAATTCTTATAAAATGTCTTCTTTCAAACAGACTTTAGAATTATTTTAAGAATTCATTGAGATTTTAATGAGGATTGCTTATAATTTTTTGGTTAGTTCAGAAGAGTGAGAACTTTTTAATTTTTAATGCTCCCATTCAAGACATGGTATAGGTACCTATTTATTTCTTGAGTAAATTTTTGTAGTTCTCTTTATCTTTTTTTCACATTTCTTTTTACAAGTTATTTTTCAGGTTTGATTACTATTGTGAATAGGGTTTTATTTTCTGCTATATTCTTGACTTTGTTAGTTCTGGAATCTAGGAAAGCTATACATGCTTACAGTTTTCTTGGTGGGTGCATGAGAGCTAGCAATACCGACTACAGTACCATTATAGTGTCATGGCATGAGTTGAAAACCTTTTCAGTTTTTCACTTTTCAGTAGCACTTTAATAAGAATTATCTGTTTCTTATGAGATTGTTGGAATTCAATAATCTCTGGGCTTGGTAACCTTTTGGTTAACATTTCTGATTAACATCCCACATTATTCCAGGGTCAATAGATTATTCAGATAATATAACTTTTCTTTAGTCAATTTTGATCATTTATGTTTTCCCAGAAAACCATACATTTTAACCAAATTTCAAATTTATCAGTATAAAGTTTGTGCATAGTACAAGCATATTTTGCAAATATTTGATGACTGCATATTCTTTATGATGCACAAAGTTTTATATCTCTTTATAAGACCTACCAGATAAAGATGGTTAATTATATTTTGAAAATCCTCCAAGTCTTCATTTATTTATTGTCTACTTATCTGTTGATGCCTCAAACTACTTATTTGTATTCTTACCCTACCTTTTTAGATTTGAATATTTCTCCTTGTTATCCCATTAATTTTTGTTACACTTGTTTAAAACAGAATCTATGGTGTTAGGACATAAAATGTCCTTTTTTGTGGTTAATTATTATGAAGGTGAAATTTCTTATTTATCTTTTTAGTGACTTTTGTCTTTAACACGTTTCTTGTTTGATATTAGTATTGCAACTCCTGTTTTTTTGTTTGTTTGTATTTTTGCATTTGTTAGGTGTCTTTTTCCAACCTTTATTTTTAAACTTTCTCTGTCTTATTTTATTTAAATGCCTGTCTTATTAGTAACCAGGCACCATTTTTATTTTCCATGCACTACATCAATGAATTTAACCCATTTATGTTTTTTGTGATTACTGATAAATTTGAAAATATTTTTTTATTTGGTTTTCTCAAATTTCCAATTTTTGTATTGCCTTGCACCTTCCCACCCTCAGCCCCCTACCCACCTACCCCCCAGAAACTTATTCCTGTGACCTTTGGCAAGAGACTTAGCCTATGTCTAAATTTTCTCATCTGTAAAATAGACATATAGCGCCTATTTCCTAGTGCTGTTGTAAGGATTAAAACATTGAATGCATGCTAAGTGCTCTATTAGATTTCGGCAATTACACATTTAATAAATATTTAAATATTACTTATTTTGTTCATTTTTCCTCAAGTTTCAAAAGTGTTCTATTTCTGTCACTTTTAACATTTTTTTTTTAAGATTTTATTGGGGAATTGGGAGAGGGGAACAGATAAGTTGCTGTCCTTTTGTTCTTCAGTCTAGTTGTGGAGGATGTCGCTTCACTGGCCCATGAGCTCTTCCCAGGTGAGGCAGTTGCTGGCAGGCCATTGGACAGCCTCTCACAGCGGCTCACAGCAGCTCACTCCCGCTGCCGGCCCCACTGCAGCCTACACCATCAGATGGGACTCAAGGCAGCCCAGCTCCAAGTTGAGCTGTTGTTCACCATCTTAGCTGTAGAGGGCGCAGCGTCACTGGCCTTCTT